TTGAGTAACACATTATTATTGTAACGAAGCATTGCCAGTAAGGTTATAAGAATAGCAATAGCTATTACTGGTAATGCTAAAATCTAACATTACAATTGTAATAGCATTACAGTGATGCTTCGTTACAATTGTAATGTGTTACTGCAAAATGTAAATCTGTACTTGAAAGAAACGAAATTAGGTTGAAAAGAATGTATGGTTTTTGGTAGTTGGCAATCCGGTGAGATATGTTTAAAAATTCTCCTTCTCTTAGAAGTCCTACTATTAAGTAGTAGAAAAAAGTAGTCCTACAACTTGGTGTATTTTGTCTTTCAATCTTACGTTTATTTTTACCTCTTCAAAAGATATCATGTGTGATAAGTAACTTTGCCAGGTCGAAGTCCGCGTTTGCGATCTCAGGTGATAAATGAACAATATTTGTTTTATCTGGTTCGTGTTTTATTTTACAATAAGCAATAACAATTAATGATGCGACGAAAATAAAAACACGTCATTTATTCTACAGATTATTCACATAAAAATCTAGAAACAGTTATGGAGTAATTCATACTGACAAAATAAGTGACACGCTAAATATTGCGGCGAGTTGAAAATTGGTTTATTAAAATTTGGTATTTCATCTTACAATTAAATTGAAAAACGTTTGATACAAAATGACAGAACACCTGAATCAAAAGCAAAACTGCATGAGAAAACTCAAAGACGCTGCTTTTGCAAAATATACTATTGTTTTGATCGCAATGACGTTTTTTGTTGCCCAGAGTAGTGCTGTAAGTGTTGCATTATGTTATGCCTATGAGCCAAACGTCACAGCTCTATCCGATTTTAAATGGGCCGTACTTGATCCGGATGCAAAATTTGAACCATTCGAAAATCCCACAGATAATACAATTTGGTTTGCATATATGAGTGTTGGTGAAGTTCAATCACTTCGTTCATATTTTAGTGAAATGCCAAGTGAGTGGTTGATCGGCAATAACTCTGAATGGACATCGTATATTATTAATCAAACTGCATCAGGTTGGTCGTCGTTTTTTGTTAACAAAATGATTACACCACAATGGAATCGTGGTTTCAAAGGATTCTTTCTTGATACGTTGGATTCATATCAACGTGTAGTAACAACGGATGAAGATCGCAAAGCTCAACAGAACGGACTATCTCATGCAATTCTTGCACTTCACACACGGTATCCAGATGCGTTGGTAATTTTTAATCGCGGTTTCGAGATCATGCCGATTGTTCATCAGTGTGCAAACATGGTGGCATTTGAATCGCTTTACTCAGGTTGGAATCAAGCAGAGCAGCAATATGTTTCAGTAAATCAAAATGATCAAGAATGGTTGTTGGCACGTTGTCGGGAAATTCAATATCTATATAACAAGTGGATATTAGCGATTGACTACTGTCCTGATAAGACATCGGCCCAAACTACTGCTGGTCTTATAAAGAAGCAAGGAATTGTGCCCTATGTTACAGATCCTCTGTTACAGACGGTTGGGATTGGTGCAAACCAGTAAAACAAATGGACCAGAGTTTAGCTTGCAGCCAAGTTGTATTGTTGGGGGTACAAATTTGGTAAATTTATTCATAAATTGGCGGTAAGAATGGGATTTAGTTAATTTGATGCATGTAATATTCACTGATGATGACGATATGTTAATGTTAATATAAATCATGTCATTTTTACTCTGAAAATAAATTCGAAATTTGGGACCAACAAGCGATAAACACAAATGTTCATTTCAATTCTTTTTATAACAATTGATTTATTTATTTATTTATTTTTGCATATATTCTTCATATTCAACATCCCATAGTAGATAATAATTAATGTAGAATATAATTGTGTGTGGTGTGTGTATCTCTTTAGCGGTTAAAATCTTCTTTTTTTGTTAAATTTGCGTTTTAATTTAACAATATCTAGAGAATATGATGTCTCACCGAAAATGGTGCTGCTTGTCTTTTGAAACATTTAATATTTCGCGCTATATATTTGAAGTTCAAATTTTGAACCATATAACTACTTGAAATTCACTATTTGAGGTCGTAGTGGTTGCAGTTTATTTGTTGTTTCGGTTTTTTTTTTCATCTCAATAATAAATAATAGTAGTTTAGAATGATGCAAAAAAAGGTCTAAAATTAGCTCTAAATTTGATATTTTTTCTTCCACAGTCACTAAAAGTCGAAAAATATAATACAAATCAATTGGCGGCTATAGCCATCTAACGTCCCAACATAAGCGTCTGTTTAAAATCAGATAAATAGTCGATTTAAATTAACTGGTTAAACGGCTTCGGCTAGCAAAATTCATTTTCAGTTGATTTCAGTCACTTCTTTTACACATGGGTAGCTTTTATAACTATCTCTTCGAAGCCTTTTAATCGTGAAAATGAAACAAATCATATTTTGAGTTATATCACATTAGCGACTTTCATATTAGCGACTGAAATATGTCAAACATGTATTTTGATTTGTTCACACGTATCAGAATGCATCATTTATAAAATACACAGAAAGAAAATATCAGCCGACGCTATACGCAAAACCGACTGGTACGTGCGCTCATACGTTTTTACATCTTTTACATCTATTACCATACGATTTTTCGACTGTGCGAAGATACGCACAAAGAGTAACGAATCAGTCGAAAAATCGTATGGTCACTAGATGTAAAAGATGTAAAAACGTATGAGCGCACGTACCAGTCGGTTTTGCGTATAGCGTCGGCTGATATTTTCTTACTGTGTAGAATATTCTAATAATTGTTTCACTAAAAGATGACACATTTATTTGGAACTACGTGTTTGATTTAGAAAATTTCATTGAAGTTTGACTTTTGATGAGAAAATCGAAAAACTGACATATCTGTCACACACGTTGTGTCACAAATTCAAATGTTGACATTTTTGAGAGTCACAAATTGGTCACTAAAAGATGACACCATTTATTTGGATTTACGTATTCGGTTTGTAAAATTTATATTGACGTTTGACAGTAGACTCACTTCATATGAAGGAAAATCACCAACTCCTTTGATGAATATTTCGTGAATATTTCATATATACATATTTTTTCATTCTTTTTTGTGCGGACTGTACCATATATGTACATACTGTGTGTGTACTGTGAATATAGAATATACAGTATAAAATACGAAATATTCACTGGAGATTTATGCCGTAGATGTGATGAATAACTATAAATATTGTGAATATTTTGTAAAATATATATACTTAAAAGCCCTTAGGAAAAGCCTTTTCAAAGAAGCCATAAGAAAACCATAGATTTATTGCCTAAAACGATAAAAAATAAAATACACATATAGTTGGCGCTGCATTCTATGCAAACTTGTTTTCCGTTGCAACGGACTTAGTGGAAAGTATACGCATATTACATAGAATGTAGCGCCAACTATACGTGAATTTTATTTTTTATCATTTTAGGCAGTAATCTTATCGCTTCTTTTCGAAAAAATCATTTTTGTGCACTTTTCAATTTTTGGTTCATAACATGTCCACCAGATGTCGTATCGAAAGTCAAAAGTCATATTTGTGAGTCACAAATTAATCACCAAAATTCTGCATCATTGGATTTTCATTTTTTGCTTTCATTCGAAATTTCACTAAGAGACTTTTTGGCCAATAGAAAAAGGCCTAAATAGAAAAATGGCCAAAAATGGCCGAAGGTCTATTCCAAGGGTCGAAATAATGGAGTCACAAATTAGTCACTAAATTCCTAAGCAGTTTTCAAGGCAAAAAATTGTCAGGCTGGATAGAGGGAGCCCGCTACATTTATGAAGTTATTGATTTAATTTATTTTTAAAAAGTCTGAGAGAAAGTTGTAGGAAATTAGAAGCGCTACAATTCGTTCTCAGACTATTTTGCTGATTATTAACTTGGGGGCACAAATGGTTAACGAGATATAGCGATTTTAAGAATGGAGAATGGGACTTTCTCATTTTTATGTTGGTATCACTGACATTATTTCCATTTGTTTATATGTGAAGTGCTACCAATATAAAAGTAAGTGACTCACAAAGTCCCATCCTCCTTTATAAAAAGTTCAAAAAATTATTGGGGGACACAAATGGTTAACGAGATACGGAGATTTTAAGATTTTTATAAAAAGTCCAAAAAATTTGATATTTTTATTTTATTAATAGGTTCAATTTAATTTATAATAGTTCGTCTAATAATGAAAAAATGACTTCCGAAAACGTTTGCTTTTTTTATCAATATAAATTACGTCTTAATTTTTATAAAAAGTGAAGTTTTATTATTAAAATTATTCAATAGATGTTTGTGCAAGAAATTAAGGTGAAGAGTCATAAGAGTTCGTGTTGGTCAAATTTTTTGGTTCCAATAAACATGTTCGTTCGTTGTGGTCATATTTATCGTTCTTTTTAAAACGATTGAATGTCAATAATGTATTGTTTTATTTTAGCATTGTAATACTATTAGTATGAGAATCGAGTGTGTTATGCGAATAAAATTTGAAAATCTCGGATTTTGTTTATTTTTTTATTTATGCAGTGCCAAAAGGTTCATCAAAAATGGTCAATTTTCGGCTATCAACTGCACCATCAGCATGAAGGACTATTTCACTGAGTTCCAGTGCCAGAGATTTACGCGTATCATACAACGATGGGCTTTGTAATATTATGCCAAGTGTACCACCGATGCAAATCAATGTAAACACCCATAATAGAAATCGATCCAAGACCATCGAAACGAATTTCCACTCTTGAACAACCTAAAATATACATTTTTATGAATCGGCATTTTATGTTTTAAGTCACGAGAACATTATTCGTATTTGACATTCGATATAATAATAATTTACCTCGTTATCCTTATCGGCATCTTTAATTGTTTGTTACAAAGAAAATTTATAATTATGAAAAGTGTTTAGACTATTTTACAAAATGTAAATATGAAAATATTATTGTTATTTTTATTCACCTTTTATGTGCTGAGCAATAAATCGAACGCCACGTAACGCCTGCAACACGTCTGGCGTCAATTTCCGGGGGAATATGTTGTCTGATTCAGAATCAGCTGCAATTTGATATTAAAAATAAAATAATTAATATTAGACATAGATTTTTATGAAACATTTTCCATTTTAAATATTGAAGGAAAAATAGAAAAGAAGGAATTCACACTTAATTTGAGAAAAGATTAATAATTTTCAGCTGGTTTGTTTACTTGTTTATTTTTATGTAGATACTTGATGGAGTTTTTTGCATTTATATATTTTTTGTAAATCGGCAAATAAGAAGACCAGGCAACAAGTACACCGTAACGATATATTATGTAAACATAGAGAAAGCATAGCAAGCAAAAAGAGACAGAGATTAAGACAGATTAAAAATCAGGAAAGAAAGTAAGAGAATGAAATTTTTGTGAAAAAATCATGCTAAAACATAAATTCGGTTTAACAAAGAGGAAGATATGTGTTTTAATAAAGAGAGATAAAAATAAACTAGTTGACAATTGGCTGAACATTTGATGCGATATTTCGTATTGGATTACTAAAACAATGGCATTCATAAAAGCTTATTTTTCTCCATATTCGACTTTAAACAATGTTCAATCACTGTCGAAACTAAAAAGAAGGAACAATTTCAATTACTCGATAGTAAAATGTTTCTCAATGTGAATATCACATACGATTGGTTTTTTTCTCGCACGAACTTAGTAAAAGGTAACAAATTTTGAACAGAACCAAAAAATGACACAAAAATTAATGCACTTTTTTTAAACAAAAAACAATGATGAACGTGCCAATTTTACAAACATCAATTGATATGATGAAACCAAAGTAAAAGTGAACGTAAGAAATGATGGATGATGATGAGCAAAGATCGAACAGAGAGTTCTTACCAGATGTATGTGGCACATTTGAACCATTATTTTCAAAATTACCATCTTCACCATCGATTTTATATTCACTGGTGAAATCGCTCATGCTATCTCTGCAAAAATGAGACATTTAAAACATCAAGATGAATTGTTTATTTTTTATCACCATTCACCAACCTGACATCCATTTCATTGATATATCCATGGAATGGTGCATTATCATCGTAATCGGGCATTATGTATTTAGTGCGTCGCATCATCATTACTTTTGGCAAAAATTCCAAGAAAAACTTTCGCACAAACGGTGACATATTATGTGTAGACGGAGATCTATGAAATTGGAGTTTTTAGAACAGTTTCCACAAAGTAGCAGACGAAAAAACCATTCACATACCGAAAATGAATATTTAAAACGCACACCGTCGTCCAAACTGACAACGATACCAATGTCATGGTAAACAGCAAATACTTGCCAAGGAGCGGAACTGCAAGCGATGTGGGCGGAATAATTTCAGCCAAAAGCAAGAAGAACACAGTCAACGACACCAAAATTGAAATGCACAAAGTGACCTAATTTCACAAGAAGAGAATTAATTTTAAATTGGAATGCATTCTGGAATATTTCCCTGAAGAATGCTTACCTTCTCTCCAGAATCACTGGGCAGGTAAAAAACCAAAACCGTGAGAAATGTCAGAGCAACACATGGAATTATCAAATTAACAGTATAGAATAAAGTCTTTCGTCTCAATGTGAGCTTAAATGTAATATCTGAAAATGGCTCAGAGAATTCTGGATAGTATTCTTCGTTGCGTCCAGCAGGAACTTCCAAAATGTCCCATTCAACGGACGGATACAATTCTCTTAAATCGATTCCCAAAGCAACGATATTACTTCCTTGCACCTAGAAATAATTGATATCAAATTGGAATAAAGTATAGTTTGCTTACAAATAATTTTTATTAATTACTTGATGCAAATGACGTAAGTCAACTTGAGCTCCATTATAGGTCCAAGAGCCGAATTTCATGAAGCAAGTTTGTTCGTCATACGGAAAATATTCGACATTAATTTCACACGATGACTTGTAAATTGCAGGCGGCTAAATAATCAGATAATTTTTTCTTTATTTTTTTTTTTTAACTCTTTAAGATAAGCTTTGTATGGAGTACCTCCCAAAACACTTCTCCTGTGTACTTCAATGTGGCTTTCGTCATCAGTGTAACCTGAACATATACATCAAGCTTTTTAAATTCAATAATATGAGCAAAAAAGAATTTTGATCATTCTACAAACCTCGTAATTTCCATCCCAATTGTTAAAGAGAACAATGTCGGGCAACCAAATATGTTCCGATGGAATATAAAGCATTTCAACACCTCCATACTCTTCTGGATCCCATTTTAGCTTATAAATTAACACAATTGTATTGCGTTATAGAGTGTTTACTGATTAAAAATTATTTCACCTTAATCTTACCTTATAATCGAACCATTTCTGTATAAAACGAAATATTTGTTTCACAATTTTAAATAATTTTTTCTAATATATTTCAGTAATGAATCATTGAATCATTTATTATAGATGTACCTGTGGCACCCATAAATTTGTGGTCATCACTTGATTTTTTAAATTCACTTCCATCAATTGTGATAATTTTAAACCAAGCCAAACTGTCAATGTTTCAGTATTATTGACAACAGGCCGAATTAAGCGATTATAATTACTCAATAAATCATCGTAAAGGCGTTTCGCGTCAGGATTGGCTTCAGGTGATTTAATTCCCGCTATTTAAATAAATACAAAATTAACTTTCTATTTAACCATGCATTAACCATGCATTGGTTTAATTAATGTAAAACTTGCCTCTAGAATGAGCTACTCCCACCCAAATAACAACTACCAGAGATGCTTTCAACAACATTATCGGAATTCTGAGTTTTTTCACATTTGTGACAATTAAAATTTTGGAAATGAGTAAACTTGAAATCGATATAACCAATTTATTAAAAGAATTATGTTATAAAAATTCTAAATTTCGAGATAATTTCTTATTCTTATAAACACGACAAAGTATGTGCCTCCAGAAACGATTTTTCTCGTCTGTGTGAAATATGCCAAAAATTCCAGGTAAGCCGATGTTTTGATTGATGCTACTTTCATTGAAAATGCCATTGAACCGAAATTAATTGGAGAAAATGGGGAAAAGTATAATTTGACATATGTTCGTCTTGCGCAGTAAAAAAATAGTGTAAATAACAGTGTAAATATGCACAACGCTGTGATTCAAAGCGTTTTTGAATTTATAAGAGACGGTTGAGCTGGATGCTATGCCATTATCAATTTTTTATTATTTATTGCTTCTATAGTACTCAATATTCTCTCAAATCTCTTAAACATAATTCTACATAATTTTTTTACATAGTTTATTTGTTGTAATACAACAACAATTCGACGTAAAAAAGTCTATGTTCCACTTTTATAGACTATGCGTACAAGTCGGATTTTTATTCTGACCTATTCAATTACTCTTATTTTATTTTATTGAAAATCCAAGGGAATAGCACATACGTAGTCACATTCCAGGTGAGAAAAATCGAGCCAAGTGTTGTACAAGGTATGTCAGTCACTTTTAGTGGTTCCAAAATCAATTTCACCCACCAAAAATCAGTGCCGTGCTGTTGATATTGAATGTCAACCGGTTTCATCATCTTTTGAGGCTCATTACAGTCATTTCACTTAAAATGTAGGCATGATGATTATGCCTACAACAGGCCTAATATTTAATGTTTTTTTTATATAGATAATATGCCTGTGATAGGCATAACTGATAGGCCTACCTTAATGCCACCAAAAATTGTAGTTTTGAAAAAAAAATCATAGAAATTACGAGACATATTGTATGCATAATATCATGCAAAATGTGCATATATGTCTCTATTTATGCCTACAGTATGTTATTTTGCACTAAAAAAAACATTACAGTTTAGGCGATGGGCAGGCATAAATAGCATTACACTTGGCTCATTGGGGCAACTATTAATGTCTAGAGAAATAAATGATCTAGACAAAATTTCATGACGATTGGTCTAGGGGCAGAGCAGTACTAGAAAAATTATTTTTGTTTAAAGTAATTCTATGTTGTGAGTAGTAATTCATATTAATCCATAGTAATACACACTTACGTAAATTCTAACAGCAGTGCAATGACGTTTCATGTGTACGATGTGTATGACATTTGCTAGGCATAAAGCGATCGCCGTATATTTCGCATGATATATTTTATTGTTAAAAAATGGAAAATATCGAATTTAATTCAATAAATATCGAATAAATTGTTTCAATCCGCAATATACGACGATCGCTTTATTCCTAACAAATGAAATACACAACGTACAGATGAAACGTAATTGCACTGCTGTTAGAATTTACACAAGTGTGTATTACTGCGGATTAATATGGATTACTACTCACAACATATACACAAATGACAACTAACCTCAATATGAACAAAAATTGACATAAAACTCAATTTATCCGAAGTCTCAACCGTTTTTGGGATAAATTTTAGTATGCATTTTTTCCGCTCAAATTCCAAAGTGATTGATATATGTTAAGCACTTAAATATTTGAGTGGAAAAAATCTGAACTAAAATTTATCCCAAAAACGGTTAAGACTTCGGATAAATTGAGTTTTATGTCGATTTTTGTTCATATTGAGGTTAGTTGTCATTTGTGTAAGTAAAGTAATTCTATAGAATTACTTTAAACAAAAATGATTATTCTAGTACTGCTCTGCCCCTAGCGATTAGTGCATTAATGAATATAGCTCAAATTTAACATTTTTACAAAAATCAGAAAAAGTGACGTTTGTCAAAAATTAGTCATATTCGATAAATATATTATACGAATTATGCATTGAATGCACGTATTTTGCGAATATATATTCCATGTGAGATGTGGGTGTGATCGCAAAATTGCGTAGGGGGTCCCTTGAAAAATCCATGAGTGCACCCTGACGATGTCAACAATTTGTAAGAAATGAGAATAAAATCATTGATGATGACGAGGGTTCCTAGGGTTCGGATTACACCCTCCAAAATATTTTCAGGAACCCTCAATAATTTTGGAAATGAGGACCTTTTTTTGCTTTCCACTTTTTTGACCGAGAAAATTCTTTCGATTTGCTAGCGTTTTTCGCCAAAAAAGTGAAGAGCAAAAAAACGATTTTCTTGTCATTTTTCGGATTTGGAAGGCAATTTGAAGTTGGAAAATTCTTCCGATTTGCTAAGGATTTTCGCCAAAAAACGATTTTATCCTCATTTTCTACAAATTGTTGACATCCTCAGGGACCCCCCATGGGTTTTTCCAGGGACCCCCCACGGAATTTTGTCATGATTCACTTCCAGCCATATATATCATTTCACTTTCGCATATAAATGCAGTTTACCTAGATAGTACAACAATACCATAACCTATAATATAATATGAGATGAAGTGAGAGGACATGAGCTGGAAGTGAATCATGTGGAGCAGATGGATTCCACCTGGTCCAAAGTGTTCTAGAAGTTGGGGAAATCATATGGTATTGAATCATTTGCTTCATCTCATACAATATTATAGAGTAGACTGGATTTATACGCGAGAGTGAGATGCTCATTTTGCTGCTATTTGTCATCAAAGCCCGTTAGTCTGTTTATTAGAAAGAGAAATAGTGACAGAATTGGTTTATTTCCGTCGTTGTTTAGTATACGTCTGACATTCGAACTGAACACACCTATAAAATATTTTCACATTCATCACATCGGTATAATTATTTAAAAAAAAATGTTCGTTTGTGGGTATTGCTTTGAACCAGTCGTGTCAGTTGTTCACGTAATAAACGGCTTTTTTATTGTGGATTTAATGGACCTCGATAGCTTATATGCCGATGTCATTTCAAATGACTCATTTGGTTACATGATTTTACTCCCCACATTCACCTATCATGTAAATATTGTGGTTCGATTCTAACCGTTCAGCCAAGCTTGCTCCCGAAAAACACAAGAGCACTGAATCAGAGTATCATGATTTGCTGCTGCTCAGCATATAGCTGAGAGCTGAGAAATGCTGAACTCGTGCGGCTAACGCATACGAAACGGATGACACGCACACATGCATTCTCCCCGTTTAAACGGTTATAAACAGTTGATTGGATGTTCAATTCAAAACTCAAAACTTAGTAACCGGATGCACGATACATATTCCCCTTTCACTTCGTATTTTCGCTGGTATAGTGTGTTACCGTTGTACCGGCAATAGCGTCAACGGCAGCACACACGAAGCGAAAGGGGAATATGTATCGTGCATCCGTTTCGTATGCGTTAGCCGCACGAGTTCAGCATTTCTCAGCTCTCAGCAATATGCTGAGCAGCAGCAAATCATGATACTCTGCACTAAATATGGCTCCAGTTCTATGGATACCATAAAAACAAAACAAAAATTAATAACCGTCAAATGAAAAGTCATATGATCTAATGGCACTACGCCCTGAAAAAGTTTTAAAGTTTACTATCACACACATATTATAAAATATTCTACCATATATTGATGAGTAAGAAACTGATCTCGGCCATATCTACGATTACATCTGGGATCGAGCAAGAGCTATTCGCCTGGATATAACACAGCAAAGAATTTGCAGTCTTGATGTTGACTCAATTATTGAACAAATGGCGAGATTCCATTTTTACGTTAGTATATACGCATCAGAGCGATTTATTTGCGAAAACCTATCTGTCTATGATGATAAAAAGTCTCACACTGTAGGACGAAGATTTCCACCATGTACACCATGAGATAAATATACAAAAACAACTCAATTCACCAAAGACGGGTTATAGTGCCACTTTTTTGGGGAAAAAAATTATCAAACACGTTAGATGGCGTTAGTGTATTTCTATGCTATTTCACGGCAAACGTTTAACTGACCTCAATAACCAATAATGGTGTTAAATCATGATTTCTGACCAAAATTATCCAGCACAATCGACAATGCAATAGCTCAAATCAAAAAAGAGAATTCAATTTTGCGATCAACTGTGTCTCAATTGAATAAACGTATTGGCGATGAAAATATAATCGAATCTTCGGACGATTCAGATGATGACATTCACGTTGGCGAACCAATTGCGAACACTCGCCATTACCAGCTCGACAATCAGTTTGCAGCCAAGTATTATTTTATCACAAATGTGAGCACACGAATTCTTAGTTCTAAAATTTATCCCACATTAAATGCATTTTTTCAACTTTAGATAGCCGGTGATCGTTTGTATTTAAACGAATCCATGAAGTCTAGGGGGATTCCGCGCGTATTTATGTACCAAAATTTAACTTCATTCTTAAAATCTCATAAAAATTCAAATATCTCACCGTATCTGACAATATCCGTAAGTATTCACCGATATCCACCATGTAGGATACTTCAAATTTTGTCGAATATTTTGACATTTTTAGAATATGGGCGAATATGAGATAATAATG